CCAGCCTAGTTGAACCCAAATAATACTGGAAAGCATTATATAACATCTAGCTTTTGTGCATTTTTCTAGGCTTTTTTTTTTTCATTTTTATTTTTATTTTAAAAAGAGCAGCCCCAATTTATCTAAGGTTCTTAAGAATAAGCTATTTTTTTTATCAATCATTATCAATCATTAAAGTAAACAAAAAGTAGTGCTGTTTCAAATCAAACTCAAGATAGATGGGATCTATATCTAGCCTCAGCTGCAGTGACCATGAGCTGGTTGAGTTTAGGATTGAGTTTGCAACCATAGACTTCGGGACGGCCAACTTTGGCCTCTTCAGAGACCTCCTCGGAAGAATCCCATGGGCTCTAGAAGGAAGAGGGGGCCCAAGAGAGCTGGTCAGTATTCAAGCAGCGCTTCTTCCACGCCCAGGAACAGTGCGTCCCTTTGAGTAACAAGTCAGGCAGAGGGGGCAGGAGGCCTCTGTGGAAGAGCAAGGAGCTGCTGGAAAAACTCAAACAGAAGAAGGCATTACAGAGAAAGTGGAAAAAAGGACAGGGTCCTTGGGAGGAATACAGGAATGTTGTCAGAGAATGCAGGGATGTGATGAGGAAAGCCAAGGCACAACTGGAATTAAATCTGGCAACGGATGTTAAAAATAATAATAAGAGCTTTTTCAAATATATCAATGGTAAAAGGAAGATCAGGCAAAATGTGGGCCCACTGGTGAACAGTGTGGGTGCCCTCGTTATCAAACATACCGAAAAAGCAGAGGTACTGAACGCCTTCTTCACTTCAGTGTTTACCAAGGGCAGCCCTCTGGAATCCCAGACCCTAGAAACCAGAGGAGGTGCCTGGAGAGAGGAAGACTTGCCCTGGGTAGAGGAAGATTGGGTCAGAGAGCACATGGAGAAACTTGACATCCACAAATCCATGGGTCCTGATGGGAAGCACCCAAGAGTGCTGCGGGAGCTGGCAGATGTTATTGCTAAGCTGCTCTCCATCATCCTTGAAAGATCCTGGAGAATGAGGGAGGTGCCAGAAGACTGAAGAAAGCCAATGTCACGCCAGTCTTCAAAAATGGCAAGGAGGAGGACCCAGGCAACTACAGGCCAGTGAGCCTCACCTCCATCCCTGGAAAAGTCCTGGAGCAGCTCATCCTGGCTGTTGTCTCCAAACATGTGGAGGACAAGAAGCTGCTCAGGAGTAGTTAGCATGGATTCACCAAGGGGAAATCATGTTTGACTAACCTGCCGGCTGGGTAGATGAGGGGAGAGCGGTGGATGTCACATATCTGGATTTCACCAAGGCTTTTGACACCGTCCCTCACAACATCCTCCTGGGCAAGCTTTGGAAGTGTGGGGTAGATGAGTGGACAGTGAGGTGGATTAGGAACTGGCTGGATGGCAGAGCCCAGAGGGCTGTGATCAGTGGTGCCGAGTTTAGTTGGAGGTCTGTAGCTAGTGGTGTCCCCCAGACGTCAGTCCTCAGTCCAGTCCTGTTCATCAATGACCTAGAAGGCTAGGCAACTAGGCGGTGAGAAACCTCATGAAATTCAACAAAGCCAAGTGCAAGGTCTTGGACCTGGGGAGGAATAACCCCAGACACCAGTACAGGTTGGGGACTGACTTTCTGGAGAGCAGCTCTGCAGAGAAGGACCTGGGCATCATGGTGGATGACAAGTTGACCATGAGGCAGCAGTGTGC